CCAGCTAATCTACGATAACCATGTTATTAATTACACACAGAGAAAATACTAATGTTTGTTCAGTCATTGTGTTTATAGACTTTACAAATATCAGATTAGTCTAAACGGTGATATAGTGACGTGAAAAATGTGATATATACATATATATATATATATATATATATATATATAGCTAAACTCAACAAGGTAAACAACAAGGCAATTCCCATTTACAGTGGTCAAGAGTGCTGGACCGGAAGTGTCGCACAAAAAACGGAAGCTGGCTGCGTTCTGTTTTGCCTCCGTGTTTCCGTGAAAAATAAGGTGGATATTCTGAAGATATTTACAGAGGGATTTGTATGGGCTGAAATATGTGCCACCAGAAACTGAATTTGAATCACTTATATTTGAATTGGAATTTCTAAACTTGAATAATTGCATTGAAAAACTGAATATGAATCACATAATTTGAATTTGAATCACATAATTTGAAATTGTATTGTTAATTTGAATCATTGCATTGAAAAACTGAATCTGAATAGTATAATTTGAAATTGAATTTATTTCTATACATCTTCACATTCAGTTCTCACAATTCAAATTCAGTTCTCCAAATTCAATTTCAATTTACTGTGACAGACATCCGGTAGTTTAAGGATGAAGGAAGAGCAATCGAGCGCAGATACACAGGACTCCCCTTCGGCCAATCAGGAGCACCTACGTTTTTGAGCACGTAGGAAGAACCGCTCACTCGCTTTGGGCCTTGACCGACCCATACTGGCTTGACAATCTTGTTGACAATGGATGCGGCTGGGGCAAATACAGTAATGTGGCATTTAACCATATATTTTAACGACCTTTTTTAACTGTTGTTAATGTTATAGCTATTTTGTAGGAACGTTTCGTTTCGTCAGCAAGCATAAACAAATCATGTTTACAATTACATTAGGCGACGTTAGCATTGTTTCAGCTATCATTTTAGCAACGCAGCAAGGAGCGCCGGAGCTAGTCTACAAACAGCAGTGCATACAATAACGCCACATATTTTTTTTACTGTCATTGAATAGCACCGAGTGAAAGTCAACGTTTCACTCGGTGCTATTCGATTATCTATCCAGATAATCCCAAATTAAATATTTCCCCAACGTTGCACACTTGCAAACACAGTAACGTTAGTCATCCCACGTTTCCATGGTAGACTACTAGCTCCAGTAACAACATCTTTGCCTAGTGTTTACTACTACTCGTGATTGATTGTCATTGACACTGTCTGGGTACCGCTCACTGACAGAGGGAGAGAGTAGTAAGCGTGTCTGTGTCGCTGTGTTTGGCAGGTGCTTGCATATTTAATGGCCATAAACTCGATGCAATTACACCATAGCACTAGCACTATTCATTTGAATGGAATGCATAGCTAATTCCAGTTGACTTGAAAACACAAAAATAGCACATTTACACTTCGAATTTCGCTTCAGCAATTATATCACAGCTATCTTGGGGTCTAACAAAGATACAAACGTTGTCCGATTTCAGTGTAATCCATTATTCTGAATTTGGGAGGTCTCGTTTTGGAGGCTATGTTTTTCATTCATTCCTATGGGAAAAGCAATGTTTTTATAACGTTAAGAGTGGTAAGCACACACTCACTGGAAGTCACTTTGCACTGGAAATTGTAAGGGCCTATTGTATTGATATTTTGTTTTATATTGATATAGCTAGCCATTTACTTGAATAACTCAGTGCAATATATTTTCTATGGAAAACACCCCACTTTGTGATTTTTTATTTGGTAATATTTAAGTTATTTATATTATTGTATGGGTTATTAAGTTGATGTATTGTATAGCTCTTCCAACCATATTTCTTCTAAACGTAGCCTATTTATTGCTGTTAACATTGTTTCCCACAATGCATCGGTGTGATTGTAGGGCTATTATAAAGTTATACATGGAGACACCATAACTGAGTTTAGTAGGTACATTCATCAGGTTCCTGAGATCGCTGTATAGTCATGTTGAGGTATTATAGAGCACTCTGAAACGATAGCAACAGCCTAACACAATATCGTGGCTTCACAAATTTTACATTGAACTTACAGCCCCCCCTACCAAAAACATCTTCCAGCGTGCCTGGTCTGGACGGTTTCAGGCCAATCACAGTGATAATTGAATCTGTTAATGGTAAAGCAATTAAATTTCTTTGTAATGAAAAGGTCCTACAACTTTGAACCTTTACTACTTCTAAATTATTATGTTAGCAGCTACCTCTCTGTAGCTCACATCTTCTATTTGGAATATTATTAGTACCACAATAAATAATATTAATAGTAACCCTACTATTAATGTATGACATAATGTCATCTAATACATAGTATGTCAGTGATTCACAGTGGTATCAGAAAAGAATAGCTCCAGCTGATGAAATGGGTTGCATTACTAGATGGTGTATGTTAACAATTCATTTCACTGCTTTTGCAGAACATTGTCATTCAGGAGTGCTTAGCTAGACTGAAGGAAAGACTGCAGTGTGCCCTCAACAACAACCCTCCTGATCTTGATTATTTGGAATACATAGTGACCCAAGAGAGGACCTTCATAAATGCAATGGAGAATGTAGCTCTGCCTAATGAGATCGGTGAAGCCCTCCATCACCTGAGCAGTTTGTTAGACCTGAGGAATAAACCTCCCCCCTCAAAATCTGTGGTGAGGAGTATAGGTCCCTATGGACGTTTTAGACTACAGATCATGGAGGACCACCTCCAAAGTCTTCTTCATCTAGGTCTACCTGCCACATGTGTAGCAGACATTCTTGGAGTCTCAAGAAGAACCATATACAGGAGGATGCAGGAGTACAATATGTCAGTTAGGAGCCTGTATTCCACAGTGACTGATGATGCTCTGGATAATGAAGTGAGAGCCATCAAATCTAGACTACCTCATGCTGGATACCAGATTGTCAAGGGGTGTCTTTAAGCAGAAGGCCACCATGTACAGTGGACCAGACTCAAGGCCTCTATGCATAGAGTTGATACAGAGGGCATCCTATCAAGATTGACAAGTATGGGCTGTGTTGTTCGGCAAAAATACTGTGTTCAAGGCCCACATTTTCTGCAGCACATAGACACCAATCATAAACTCATTAGGTGTGTATATTACATTTGAATATAGCAGGACTTAAAATAGTTATCGTTGGAATTATTTTTTGTGGTTAATTATCCTCTGCTTCTTTATCACCAGATATAACATGGTGATATTCGGTGGCAATGATGGCTACTCTAGGAAGGTAAGTTTCCGACTGTAACAAAGTACATACTCATGAAAATATTGCTGGTATCCATCATTTTTTGGTAGAGTGTCCATCTTATAACAATCAATCCCTTAACTATTATTAGAACTCATGTCCATTTTCCACCCTCTAGATCATGTACCTCAATGCTGGATCCAACAACACAGCGAGTACTGCGCTTCAATTTTTTTCTGGATGGAGTGAGGAGATTTGGATGGCCTTACAAGTGAGTAATGCTGCAGTAAATTTATTTTGAATTATGGTTCTCGTATTATCCTTTAAGCATAGAAATGATTTGTCAGCCGTTTATGAAACCTGAAATTATCAGGATTTATTCAATGCTGCATTTAGTTTTCATGAACCTGTGTGAGGAAATGATCCAGTATTTTTAGTAAAGTGTTTTTGTGGATTCAGTTGTATGTGTAAGCAGTGGCCTAAATAGGTCAGAAGGTGGCCCTGTTGTGTTGTTTATGCCCTCAGGTGTTACGCAATTGTTGCTGTTTGTCCTTTACCGGACACCGTGTTTTCAGTTATTCGCTCTGCGTGGTCGCCATTTTGGCTTAGTGTTTGTTTATGGTCTGTAATGTAAGCACTATAGATAGTTCTCCTCATCATAGTCCAATATCTTGACCATAAACGATTAATACACTGTTTTGTTTAAATGATGTGTTTATTGAGATGTTTGTTTACCATCTGCTGAAGTTTTAGGAATTTGTAACTTGGTTTTATATGAGTATGTCAGCAGTGATTACGGCTAGCTTTTTAGTTGTACGTGTGCTAGCTCCGCGGGTACTGTCTGCTATTTACCTACCTGTGGGTTTTCTCTTATGCTCTGTGTTTTGAGCTGAAACCTTGTTTTAAGGGGTTAAGTAGCTGTGAGGGTACAGCGCTTTATTTTGAATACTGTACAATTACTTTTATATGACTTATCTTAACTGACTCAGTGTTTGTTTATGGTCTGTAAGGTGGAGCCGCCAGCGTCAACACTCATTAAACAATGCTGTCTCAGCCACGATCTTGACCATCCGTGTGTCCGACTCGTCCCTCACATCGCACCCCCCCAACAACATTAACACCCGTTTACACGTAGGCTACACGGTGATTTAAACCCAACATTTTTCAATAAATTGGCTGTTATAATTAAGAGTATTAAACCACAATTCTTGTTATCTGAATGACAGAAATATAGGATCTTAATGAATGCCGCAACACGGACGCATGATTATGTTATAGAACAGGTGTTTATTTTAGGAGCCAGGTGGTGAAGGGCTGTGCACACACAATGTTCCAACAGAGGACAACCCTCCATTCCGAAACCCCCCACTCCGAAATTGATTTTCAAGTCCATATCGAGTTTCCTGCATCAAACACTGCCGCCCGCTTTCCGGCCGCACTAGCACGATTCTGAAATTTGTTGTACTACAAAAGCTTGAAATGAACGTTCAACTCTTTGTTTTTTATTGAAAATATGTCACTGTCTTCATTTATTATGTATAATTTCGCTAGCAGCAAACACATTTAAAGGAGACGCTTGTCAAGTATTTTTACGCGCGCTGTCCGTGGTGCTGAAATCCCCGCTGCAGCCGCCGCTCCTGCAGACAGCAGACAGCATATCAGGCTGTGTGATTGTGCACAAAGATCGGTTTAACGCATTGGAGCAATTTCATACAATTTCGGACATTTAACATGATAAACTAATTTCAATTCAACATGGTCATTTGCTTACAGGACTCAGCTGTAGCATAATATGAAGTATTTGCTTGTTTTGTGGTTAATTATGCACATGATCCGTTTGACCCCATCATGCGTCCCTGCAGACGGGGGCAAAAGCATCAATGCGCTTACCTCCGTTTCCTTTCTGATTGCGTCCATCTCGTTCATTCAAACTTTGTAAACACGGTTGGGATTTGTAGGGGACATATGTATGCTGCTCACTATAAAATGTGTTTCCTATAAATAAATGTATCTCTGTGCAGAGAGGGCTTAAAATATTCATCAGTAGGTCAACATGAGAGAAGGTCCACTTTTGGAAATGCTTGTTGTTGTTGTTGCTATTTTATGGATTCTGATTGGCTAACGTGGGCTTGAGATTCATGTCCGTTTACGAAAATAGCTGGCCACATGTAAACAGGGCATAACACAACGCAGAGTCTCCGGGTGTGGAGAGACGCAATCTCTCAGGGGCTGGGTTACATATGGATACTAATTTCAAAATCTGATGTGTTACAGGGTAAGAGGTGACCAGGGTGTTGAAAATGTCCGCATTGCCGAGATGATGTTCACTGTGAGAGGCACAGGACATGTAAGCGTTATAAGTGGAAAAAGTGTGCACAACCAGAGGTGCAGTATTCCTTTTGTATTATTATCAAATTACCTCAAGATCCAAGTAGGTACATGACATGTCTTGTTATTGTTTGTGTGCCCTTCAGTGTGATAGTTGAATTGCTGTTTGGCTATTCTTTTATAGTTTGATTGACCATTTTCTATGTATGAATTGTAGAATCGAACGCCTATGGAGGGACGTTTGGACAGGAGTTACACACGTCTACTATGACGTATTACACAGCCTGGACGAAGATGGATCCCTCGACATCTCGGATAATCTTCATCTCTTCTGTGCTCAGTACACCTTCCTCCCCAGACTCAAGGCTGATTTGGCCAAGTTTCCTGCTGGATGGAATGATCATCCTATCAGGACAGAGGGCTTCCTCTCCCCAAACCAGCTGTGGGAGCTTGGGATGCTGCAGCGCCCCATCAGAGAGCCAGAGATGTCTGAGGAAAATGTGGCAGTTGAGTAATAATGCCAGTGATATTGTTGTCCTGCCTCTAAATATGATTTTCTCAATCTACATACTGATAATACTATCTTCTGTTGGTTTTAGGCATTCCAAATTGAGGATATTGATTGGGAGAGCTCAGTGCTCTCTCATGATAACTCTACCAACCCAGGTGTTACCGTGCAGAAATGGAATGTCCATTGAAGACAGAGGACATTGAAACTCTACGCCTTGCCATTGATCCCCTTTCTCATTCAAACAGTTTTGGAAGAGACATTTATTTGACCACACTCACACATGCTTTATACCTACTTCACCATCATTGACAGTCGTGTCTGTGCCAATCAGAAGACTAAAAGCTTTAATTATTCACGATGATTCATGATTGCACAAGTCCAGTCTAGGACCCCATGTATCCAGGCACCTTATAGTCCACCTTCCATTCACAGCAAACCCATTGAAAATAAATAAATAACAAAATGCCACAAGATTTTGTATTTTGCTTCCTTACGTTTTTTATTGGACACCCTCACATTCATTCTGTCAAGCTGACACAGCCACAGGGAGGAGGGAAAGAACGCAGTGAAGGACATCTTCTCTGACGAAAACATTGTAATGGTGCGATGCCCATATGGAAATGCTGTTTGAAGCGTAACATTCAATGTCATGATATATACTTTCTAAAACGTCAAAATCAATCAATTAGCCATGCACACTGGGTCATTAAATACACCCATGAACAGAGAATTGGGTGAACAGATACAAACTGGATTTTACAAAAAAAAAAAGACTGCACAAACCATGAAAGAAAAACATTCAGTAGTCTAATTAGCACTGCATATTTAAAACAGCAACATTTCACCTAAACCTGATGAAATGCCTGCCCTAGGTGGAAGACCTCTGTCATAACTTGTTTGAACTCAGTATAAGTTTGCAAATGCTTAACAGGCAGGCGGATTGTATTGCTACATGCGGAGACCGATCTGGACAGTCGCCCACCTCTGGATGTTCACCTTTTCAGAGACAGACAAAGCAAACAATCATGTAAATGAAATATTGGACATGGTTTACCTGCACCAGCACAGAGGTAGAATTTGGACACCTTATATCTGATATAAGTGTACTTATAATGATAACGTGATCTACATGGAAAGGCAGTATCTCTGTAGATAAATACACCACCTCACACTTGTAGTGGGTCATAAGTGATGATTGGGGAGGATTACTTTTGTATGACACTATACATTGTTTTTTAGGAAAATTCTGCATAGTGGGAGGACCAGAAGGGCAACAGACAGAAACAGAGGAAGCTCCCGCACACTGTCTTAACTTGCATATAAAGTTTAATCGGAGAACAATGTTTCAGTCGCTGGGAGCTTCATCAGGTTATGTCACGGTGTGAACCATGGAAGCAATTTAAATAGACTCAATGGACCACGTGGGCCAATCAGAGCCCACACCTGGTGATGTCATAGTAACACATAACACAAACTTTCTATGCAAGTTAAGTAAGCCTACTGAACATAAAAATCATTGCCATGCCCTGCAAGATGTAAACAAATCTTGTTAGAGGACTTTGACTTATGGACCCCACTGTATGCAAACATGACATACCTGAAGTTTGCTTGATCAAGATCCAACATGGAATATTTGGGACATTTTCCAGTCTGGTCACCCTCAAACAGCTTCTGCTCAATCCCTGCAACCATCTCTTTGAACACAAAGAATCACTCCATTCATGTAACTACTGTCACTTCAATTGCAACTTTTTTTAAAATGTAATTTAAGTTATATTTACCTCCGCCAAGGAGGTTAGGTTTTTGCCGGCGTTTGTCTGTTTGTTTGTTTGTTTGTTAGCAAAAATAACTCGAAAAGTTATGAAGGGATTTCAATGAAACTTTCAGGAAATGTTGATAATGGGAAAAGGAACAGATGATTAAATTTTGGTGGTGATCAGTTGAAGCAAAGTGAATAAAATAATACAATGCCGGGAAATCCGAGCAGCTTGGCGGAGGTCTGCGCTCTCCGAGTGCTTTTCTAGTTCAGATACGTGTACCTGTGAGGAACTCCTTCCGTAATGCCCCTGTATCAAGGCCCGCATCCCCTATGAACCGGATTTTTAACTGACTGGTAGGCGATGATATTTTCTAAATTGTGCCAAAAGATTCTGTTACCTCTCTCCACACTCGCTTGCATGTGCCTCCAGCTCATTGGGAGGAAAATTCTGGCCACGGATTGGGCACACAATCTGCAACTGGAATCACTTAAATGTTAAACATAAAAGGTGGAGACAATAATACCTCAAAAATAAACACTCAACACATCACAACATACCTCTGTCTTGGAGGACACAAAAGCACATCTTCCACCGTAGAGTGTCAGGAGGAAAAAGAAACTGTGATGTGATGCCAATATTCATTTTGCTTGATTGCATATATCTGTTGTTATTCATCTTTCAACAGATGTTTTTGCATAAACTGTTCATTAATTAACACAGCCTCATTGCAAATATAGCTTAACTACCTTAAAAATCCACATCGCATCAGGTGGAACTGGCCACTATACAAGTTATGACCAAATCCAACTGTAATGGTGAGCCTCCTCTTTGTTCTCTTAAGACATTGTATTTAAGCTTAATGGTGCAACATGTCAAGGGGAATAGTGACTCTTATGGGGTTAGATTGACATTTTAATGTTTGCTTTTGGCATAGATGGTCAAGGGGTTGAGAGAGAATTTTCTCTAGGCCTATGCGAAAGGTGATTCTACACAAAAATGGCAACTGACAATTTCAGTAGTCAAAAGTGATGAAAAGAAATGATCTAGGAGTACAGACTTGTGTCATGTCCGTAATTGTGTAATAATTGTGTAATATGTCCCTTGTACTTTGTCCAAACACTTTTTTAACCCAACCAAAATGCCACTGATGCTTGAAAAGGTACCAATTATCTCGCCTTCTGATTTGAGTTTCCCTCAAAGTCTTCCATATCTGGTTTGGGGTGCCTGTAATCCGGGTCTTCATCACTAATCTGATGAAGGAGAGTAGCAAGTTCTCATTTATTATATGAAGACGGTCAATGAAGTGAGTATTATGCAAGCAACATTCACAATGTTGGACCCGAGGAAGATCCTGATGGAGCAATACGTCTATCAGAGATATCTAGTAGAAAGCTTAAAAGTGTGCGGCAGTTGTTTCTGTGTTTTGCAGAGTACAGCTATTTGTAATATAATGTGATCTCCCAACATCATCCATACAATGAGTCTGTACATACCTCCTGTGGATAAGTATCTGAAGGCTTACATGTTTCAACATGCAGCGCTAGGATTTGTAATGGATAGCTGGTGTGACAGGAGTGGCACATTGTCTTTGGCATACTGGAGAAGGACCTGGAGTCAGGAGGCAGTGGTTGAGTGTCTAATTCCTTCTGTATTGGAGCAATATATAGGACACCCTTTCCGCCTGTACTTGCAGTCTTCAGCATTAGCCCAGTATATCCACTGTCCTCAGGAGACACCATATATAGTTTTCTAGAACCCCATTCTCCTAACAAGAAAAGTTATTAAATAGTTGAATTCTACTGAAATGTGACAGTACTCATCACTCATGATATTGATCCAAATGATTTTATAACAAGATTAGATTGGCCATGGGTAAGGTCTATGTACCTGCTCCTTTGTAAATCAGCCAGCCCCCAGACACACTTTCCAGTTTTGGGTAGAGATCTTTGAGGGTTGAACATACCCCTTCAAGAGTAATATAAATCATACCATCATATTGATAAAAGAGCATTGGTGTTGATAGTGAACTATATTAAAATATTATATGACCAAAAAAAAGATTTTCTTGTCAGTGTTGCCTCACCTCATCATGTGTGTAGTTTTCTGGGATCAGCATGGACCTGCGTCCCAAACCAGCTTGCAGATGAACAACTTCTTCACTGCCTTTGGGAGTCCGCTCAACAAGCTTTGGTAAGAGGTAAAATGTAATTTGTATCTCTTTGACTGGTGTATGGTTGGAAGGCCCTCGAAAGCACTGGCGCTTTCCCTTGCCTCCAAAAGGGGCAGGAAAAGACCTGTGATGATGAGAATGTTTTAATTTGATGACATTTGACATTACACAATACAAGTACACATCTCACTAGCTATAGTTTTAAAAATGATTAATGTAAGGAACAAGTCAGTCTGACAAAGAAACCAAATACAGTGAAGGACGTTAACAATTCACTGTGAACACTGGGTCGGCCATCTCTCCCTCTTTCCTGACTCCTTCCCTGTCTGCTAGAATGAGACCGTATTCAGAAGATGCATCACATTATTTTATGCTGAGTAGTCAACATTTAAATGAACAGGGAACAATGTCTCAGGGGTCAAATGATTGAATTGATGATGGGTGTTTGTTATTTGTTGTGAAACTAGACACAACACCTTGGAGTCTCTGGGGCAGTTTGCTGTTGGGCACTGGGCCCAACAGGGCCAGGGGAAGGTGTTGCATTTGCAAGCAAATTAAGGAGGTGTCTTGCTGATTTGACAAGTTCTGAGTTTTCTCCCTGTCAAAAGTATAAAAATGGAGCAGTAGGTTGGAAGAGCTATACAATACATCAACTTAATAACCCATACAACAATATAAATAACTTAAATATTACCAAATAAAAAATCACAAAGTGGGGTGTTTTCCATAGAAAATATATTGCACAGAGTTATTCAAGTAAATGGCTAGCTATATCAATATAAAACAAAATATCAATACAATAGGCCCTTACAATTTCCAGTGCAAAGTGACTTCCAGTGAGTGTGTGCTTACCACTCTTAACGTTATAAAAACAATGCTTTTCCCATAGGAATGAATGAAAAACATAGCCTCCAAAACGAGACCTCCCAAATTCAGAATAATGGATTACACTGAAATCGGACAACGTTTGTATCTTTGTTAGACCCCAAGATAGCTGTGATATAATTGCTGAAGCGAAATTCGAAGTGTAAATGTGCTATTTTTGTGTTTTCAAGTCAACAGGAATTAGCTATGCATTCCATTCAAATGAATAGTGCTAGTGCTATGGTGTAATTGCATCGAGTTTATGGCCATTAAATATGCAAGCACCTGCCAAACACAGCGACACAGACACGCTTACTACTCTCTCCCTCTGTCAGTGAGCGGTACCCAGACAGTGTCAATGACAATCAATCACGAGTAGTAGTAAACACTAGGCAAAGATGTTGTTACTGGAGCTAGTAGACTACCATGGAAACGTGGGATGACTAACGTTACTGTGTTTGCAAGTGTGCAACGTTGGGGAAATATTTAATTTGGGATTATCTGGATAGATAATCGAATAGCACCGAGTGAAACGTTGACTTTCACTCAGTGCTTTTCAATGACAGTAAAAAAATATGTGGTGTTATTGTATGCACTGCTGTTTGTAGACTAGCTCCGGTGTTGTGTCCCTACTGGTTTCCAATTTAACTGGTTTCCTGACCGAACAG